TCTGTCTGACCCCAAAGCTTGTGTCTTGTCACCTTCTAGCCCAGATGGTCTCCTCACTGTGAATGCTGTGAATGACGGCTATACAACCATGACCCATGATGATTAAATCCAGCAGAACTTCACAGTAAGGTCTCCAAATCACAGTTTATTTTGTAATCTATACAACTTAAACTCAAGGTAAATAGACAACAAACTTGCAAAGTGAGAAAGAAACAGCTGAAATCTGGTGTTCTGATCACAAGCCTGTCTAACATCTTTCAGATGCTATAAATTCCAGAAGGCTGGATGGTAAAGTTACAACATGTAATTCAGAAATCTTTGTTGTAAGGATAGCCTATCCCCCCCTCCCCACCCCTAAGGACTCTATGTTATGAAAGATGAAAGCTGAAAGTGTCTGCTGTGGAAGAAAATGGTGAGAAAGAGTGATACTGTTAGAGGGAAAGGATGTCCTGAACAAACTCCACAAGTAGGTGGTATAGACTCCACCCCCACTCCAGACCAAAGATATCCAAGACACCAAGAACTACAAATCCCATACTGTCATCATCACTGAAGGGAGAGCTGCTGGAGCCTGAGGGTGGAGGTAAGCAGCCGGGTTTGGTATAAACCATGTGGGCCATGGGGGGTCTCAGTTTTTCGCCAGCTCTCAGCGTGCTGTTGGGATTCCAGCTCAGCGGAACTGTGGGACACATTCACGAATTTATCTCCCTCTCTTTCCCCCTGAGTTATTCATTTCTTCATTTCCCCTTCTTTTGTAAATAAACTCTTCATTAAACTTTTTGTGTGTGCCTGCAGTTGAGTATTATTATAAGTCCCTTTCCCTTTTAAGCACATGGGTGAGGACCCACTGTCAGGCCAACCCATTTCATATCAGGGTTGTTCTGAAACAATGTTGCTCTATCAGTGAACCCTAAGTGAAAACACCGACAGACAGCGTAAGAATGGGGAAGTGAGGGCTTCTTTGCCCCTCCCTGGCCTGGTTCCACTGGCCTGGGAGTCCCACTTTATTTCTGTTCCTTTTCTCTTCAGTAAACTTTTTCTTTCTCTAAACAAACAAACAAAAAAAGAATGGGGAGGTGAGTCAGATGAAACAAGAAAAGCAGCAGGTGCTGAAACTGATCGATAGATACATGAGTTCATCTATCTCTTGTCATTTTAACTTTTCTCAAGAGAACTTATTAAATGTAGATGCTGTATCTTTACTTACATCCTTTCATATAGTACTAAAGAATGGGTCATCACATCTAGCCTTATCTCATTTGAAAAATATGGTTGTGGCATATATCTGTGTAACTGAAGATTTCCATCAAAAAGAAAACAAACTGGGCCTCCCCGGTGGCACAGCGGTTGAGCGCTGGGTTGCGAAGCTGCCCGCAGCCTCTGCAGCGCCAGTTTGATCCCCGGCTGCTCCCCGGCCACCAGAGGAGGGTCCCACATGGCGCGCAGACCTCTCCTGCCGCCCGCTGCTCCCCTCAGCAGTGTGCTTCGGTCCTTCTGCCTGTTCTGCATCCTGCTCTGACTCTGGTGAATTCTCTCACCCGCCCGCGCTTCTGACTGTACACAGTGCATGTATAAACAACTAACCAAACAAACAAAAAAACAAATAAAATAAAATAAATAATAAATAAAGCATGCCTCTATTTAAAAAAAAAAAAAAGAAAACAAACTTGTTTTGAGTGAAATCATCCGATATTTTTCATTTTCCTTTTGGCTTATTTCACTGAGTATAACTCCTTCTAGCTCCATCCACATTGCTGCGAATGGCATGAGTTTATCTTTTTTGATTGCTGAATAATATTCCATGATGTATATGTACCACATCTTCTTGATCCAGTCATCTATTTTTGGGCATTTGGGTTGTATATAGGAGAACCAAATAAGACATTGGTGTAAAAATAATAATAATAACAGTACAAAACACAACAAAGCAAAAACAGACAATTGTAAACCAGAGACATCCTGCAGGGGAGGAGGAGGCAGAGGGGTGAGAGGGAGGGAGGGAGGAGCACAGGGGACTGAGGCGATGGTACAGGGGTGCCTTGGGGAAGGAAACTCTATGGGGACTCAATCTGAGGGGGTAGGGGGAAGCAAATATTGTCTAAAAAATGTAAAAAATGATAAATGTTAAAAAAAAAGAAAATAAACTTATTGGGTGCAGTCATGGTGGGTGTGATGTGTTGACATACATCTGAAGAGTTGTGAACTTATTCCCCTAAATCATATACAGTATATAACCACTATGACCACAGTAAAAAAAAAAAAAGAATTAAAATTAAAATAAAATAACTTGAGCTTTTTTTTTTTTCCAAAAGTTGTTTTACCTTTATTTTTTAAATATATTTCTTACATCATTTTTCATTTTTTGCACAATGTATGCATTTTCATCTTGGTTAGATTCCCCATACAATTGCACGCCCCTTATAATAACTTGAGTTTTGACAGTAAAAGTAAAAAAATAAAATCCCATGCCTTTACATTACTAGGAGTTCATGGGTCCCTGCCTTCTTGTACACAGTAGCACAAGTGCTGGCCCCAGACCTTGTGGGGAGAGGTCAGGGCTGGAATCTCATTGGTCTTTCCTTCCCTCTCTTGACTGATCCCGGCTGGCCCATCACCAGATGGCCCCAGCAAGCCTCACAGTCAAAACCTAGAACAAATTCTGCTTCTAAAGAAAAGAATGCCTGAAACCATTGTTTTTCAGATGCAGAAATAAGCATTCAAAAGATTCTAAACTCTTAAACCACAACAAGATAAAAGAACAGATTTGATTAGCATGCAACCAGTTTGGTTAGTGAGTTGGTTCAAGGTTACCCATGAGGATATGACAGAATAAGAAAGTCAGCACATCCCAGAAATCAGTGTGTGGCTATACTGAGGGAGACACTGATACCTGAGTGTTGAGTAAAGGATAAACCACAAACAGGGCCCTTGTTCCTAGAACATCGCATTGTTCCTATAACCCTTCAGAGGATGAATGGAAAGGTTAACCAACCCTTATCATCTGAAGAAACAACGCTTCTTAGAAATCTGCACAAAGGCCTGTTTAAAAGGTCCCAATTATGATAATAAGATAACTGGTTGCTTGTCATTATCTGATACACTTATTTATTACTTATTTTCACTTAGCTATATCTCCCCCAGAAGAATGTAAGTCCCATTAAAGCAGGGTTTGACTGTTTGGCTCCCTACTATATCCATGGAATCAAGAGCAAGGAATACCTGGTGACGAATGAACACATTTCCGATTGGTTAGTATGCACACAGATATATGCCACAACCATATTTTTCAAATGAGATAAGGCTAGATGTGATGACTCATTCTTTAGTAATATATGAAAGTGTATAAGTAAAGATACAGCATCTACATTTAATAAGTTCTCTTGAGAAAAGCTAAAATGACAAAAGTGGATTTGTCTTGAAGAATCTGAGACATATACATGAAATTCAGTTTTATCACTGCTTGATAAATATTTATGATGACTCATTTCTTCAGCATGAAAGTGTTTGGCTAATGCTTATCAATCTGTGTGTTCTAGCTCCATCAGTGTAACTTGGATTATATTTCTTACTACCATTTGGGGGGCAGCGGCTGTGTCTAATGATAACAAGCTTGTCAATCATCTAGAGATCTTACTGAAATGCAGATTTTGATTCTGAGGAGGGGCCTGATAGTGTGCAGTTTTAAGAAGTACTCACTCTGGTGAATCCATGCTGCTGGATTACACTTTGAAAGGCAAATATCTAGTACTACAGATCATCATCTGGGAAACATGCTTCTAGATCAGTTCAGAAAGGAGCACTAAAAGACTTGATTCCCAAGAGACAAAAATATAGAGAAGCTTATTAAAGAAGGACAGAAAGGAACTTCTCTAGAAAAAGAAGGCTTGATTTTCTTAATTTGTAATCATCCAAAAATAGTATTGTTACAGGGCAGCCTGATATAAAACAGGTTGCCTGACTGTGGGTCCTCACCTGCGCACTTAAAAGGGACTTAATACTCCACTGCAGGTACACACAAAAGGTTAATAAAAGATTTATTTACAAGGGAAGGGGAAATGAGAAAATGTACAACTCAGGGAGAAAAGTGGGAGATAAAGTCTTAAATGCGTCCTACCCGTCCCACTGACATGGAATCCCAAATGGCACTCTGAGAGCTGATGGTGAGCCAAGAGCCGTGAAGCCTAGAAGAGAGCCCCCAAGGCCCACGTGTCTGGTTTTATACCACCGCTGGCTGCTTAACTCCACCCTCAGGTCCCAGCCATCTTCCCTTTGGTGGTGACGGGATTTGTCTTTCCCAATGTCTTGATGGCTTTGGTCTGGTGTGGGGGTGGAGTCCACAAAGCCTGCATGGAATTAGCTCAGGACATCATTTCCCCCTAACAGTATGATTCCTAAGCACTGACTTGTATGTAGATCTGGGAAATTGTTTACTTCTGGTATGAAAATTGTGAAATGCATATGCCTTTTTAGGTTTGATATTCACAATTCTCAAAGAAAGAAGAAAAACATTATAACTGTGTAGAAACACAACTAATGTGGGACAATTTCTCCCTTTACACTGTCCTTTTTTTTTTTTTTTTGGTTTCCGCTTTCAAAATTTTGTCTCTTTATACCCACCCCACTCACACATCCAGCCACCAGGGTGAGATTCCTGATGTGATCAGCTCTTTGTGACTCTCCCTCCCCCCAGGTTGTTGCTCCACTCAACACTGCTGACCCCATGAGCTAGCAAGGTCAACCTGAGCTCTCACTCTACCTAAGCCGCAGCCTCGAACAAGTGCTTCCAGAAGCCTTAACAGAACTTGCACTGCTGGCATTACTCACCATAGTTTTTAAAGTGCCTATCTCTTTGGGGACCTGCAGTGAGAGGGGATGGCTAAAGGTCAGGAATTGGGCATTCCTGTGTCCTTCAGGAACCTTCCAACAATAATGCCTGGGCATAATCTGTTACTGTTCACAGCAACTTCCTTCCTAGTCCATAAAAATGGCAAAAAACTAACCTGGCCTTTCTCTTCCAGAGTTTTGTGCTCCTGAAGAAGTTGCTCCACATGCATTGCACAGTCTCCAATGTCTGTAAACTCTGCTTGCTCTGCCAACAAATTTTCCAGGGCACGCTTAACCTACAAGACACATTAGAACAGTCCAGAGTAAGCCAATGAGCACCTATCTGGAGTTAAAAGTTTGCTACACTCTTAAAAATAAAAAAAAAAAAACCACAACAACCTAAACTAAAATATCCAAAAAGGACTCAGGACTTGTATATATCTATCCATAATTTTTTTTTTAAAGTTCATTAGATTTTTGATTAAGCTGGGAGGGGGTGGCAGGTGCTGAGATGGAATGCAGATGGAATATTAAAACTACGAGAATAGATTATCAATCAAAAAGGAAGATAAACCACTGAAATGCCATATATGCCAATATATGTCAGGAAAATGGGATTCCAGAAGATTATTACTTCTCTAAAATGTGAGAGGTGGGCATCTGTGGGGAAGCAAGGATAAATGGGGAGAGCGGCACTGGGCAGGGTGGGAGAGGGAGGAAGTCAATATCCAGAATTCAAAGGGAAAGAGAAAATCAGAAGACACTAAGTTATAAAAGAAAGTTCTATTAAACAGGAAAATAACACCTCACAAAAGTTGTGCTCAAAATGCTGTAGCTGTAGGCACTGGTTAAGCTTCAGGTGATGCTCAGACCAAAACTGACTAAAGGCTTTCTCAGTTTCTTTCAATTGAACCAATAACCTGTCAAGAAAGGAGAAGAGGCACATTATGGTTAGCACTGATTACCACAGAAAATGGCACCTGTTTTCAATGGTGTTATTGCAGTGATCTTACAGAAGGCTGTTGCCTAGGATTTTCTCATGTTTTCAGATGTTTTCCACATTTGCCGTCGTTCAATCAGGACACTCTCAATGCGAGATAGAAACTTCCCTTCCAATACTTAGCTGCTAGGCTTTAAAACCAGCCCCAGGTAACCTTCTCTTTGCACCTTCTCTTTCTACCTCCAGTGGCAGGTGTGTAAAGCACAGCACCTAACCAAACTGTTACTTGGAAATGAAGCTCACTTAGTACTATTACCCCCCTTGAAACCTAAAATGACAGTAAGTCCTAAGAGGAGAAAATGACATTCTCATAGAAAGATCTAGGTAGATGCATACCAGATGGATATTATCTTTTTTCCTTTGTTGTCTCAAGTAATTTTCCTTCTTGACCCGACCAAGGGCCAACAATAGCTGTCCCAATCCATTCTGGTTATTTCAGAACATTTAGTTCTACACTTTTTTCCCGAAAAAGCAGATTCCCCTTCCCACTCACCTCTCCATGGTGATTGCATTCTCAAGTTCATTGGGATTGAGTTTGTTGATGGGATATCTGGTCACTGGTTCTTGAATGCAAGACAGCAATGTGGCTCCCTGCTTTTCAAGTAATTGAAGCTCATCCTAGAGAAAGAGAAATAGAGGCTCTTCTATAAGGCATTAACAAAAACAATTTCTTGGTAGATCTGAGGTGAGGAGAATAGATCGGTATTTTTTTTCACCTAAAAATTAAATACTAATGAAGACAAGCTACAGCTTAAAAAAATTAACTAGTTTTTAACAAGTAATATATATACATGATACAAAATTCCAAATACACAGGAAGATGTATCTGGAAAAAGTCTGTCTTTTGCGCCAGCCCATCCACATTCCCTTTCTAAAAGTTACAACTGTGTGTGTGTGTGTGTGTGCATCTCAGGTGGCTGTTACAAATTGAAAGTGAAATTAGTTAACAAAATGTGGTAAATTAGTTAACAAAATGACAGATATTGAATGTTCAGTGCTAGAAACTGCAATGCGATGATAATGTCAAAAGTGCTGGTTGATCATGAAAAAAAATGCTGGTTGATCATCTGGTCTCATCAATAACCATCTGCATCTCTTTCCATCTGCCACAAAAATGGAACTTTTTCAACTTTTGAAGTTTTGCAGAAATGGGCAGCAATTTCAGTTTCATATGGAAAGATTAATTCTTCCAGGGTAAATCTAATCTGTTGGGGACCCCTACGGCATGAGATGCTGAGACAATGAGAATGTCAAGATCGCGACTGGAAGACTGGTCAACACGGTTTGAAGACAGACCAGTGATGTCCAACATGTCCTTTCTTGTGTCATCAAAGCTAAGCCTGAGAACATAGAGCTATTTCTTATGCCAGACAATACTGCAAATTATATGGCGCTACAGAGTTAGTCCATATCACCTGAGTGATGTTTTAGCCTCTTTTGTGCACAGTTGCACAGTTCAATTCTGACAATAGCTGGTAATCACACACAAGAAAGAAACGGTTTCTTTCCCTTTACTTCACCTCTGTGGCCTCTGCCTGTGCAGAAATGGTAGACGGTCCACTCACCTGCCTTTCACAGGAACCCTCACTACATAGACAGCTGGACCTGACATACTAGATTCACCCTTCAGATGTGTTCTCTAAATTCCAAAATTTTTCCCTATTCCCCAGAGATTTCTCTGATTTACCTGCTGTCATCATGTTGCTTCTGTTCTGTAGCCTCCCCATACAATCACTCATGAGCTGGATTCCAGGCATAGTACCTGCCTGCCACTCTCAGCACTGTCAGCCTCACCCCCTGGTGCTGACAGCTCTGCAAGCTCCTGGCCTATGACTGTGGGCCTGTGGGCCTGAGATGGTCAACTGCCAGGCTGGCAGGGTATCCTAGACCCAGCACTCTGCACCCTGTGCTGTCTCTTCCAAGAATCATGGGAGATGAATTTGGCCATTATGATTGGCAAAGAAAAAGGTCAAGCTTCTCAAAGGTATTTTCAGGTGTGATATTGTAATTTATAAGAAAATATGTTCTCATATATATTTGGTCTTCAGTGTCTGGCTCTCGGCTCCCCAAACCCTTGGAATGTTTAAGTGTGGAGAGTGATAAAGGTGTCATATATTATGTGAACTTATTTTGAAAGCACCTAAGGATGCCTCTGGACCTCCAGGGAAGGGAAGAGAGAGCAGCAGGAGATTGAATTCTATTGCCACTGCCAATGATTTAGCTTAGCATGCCTATGTTAGGAAGCCTTCATAAAAACCCCCAAAGAAGGGGCTCTGGCAAGCTTCTAGGTTGGAGTCCAAGAGAAGTGAAGCCTCGGGAAACTTAGCCCTTAATTTGTAGGACCTGACGCTCTCTTGTGTAGATAATGCCAGCATTGACTTGAATTCTCAGATACCCCACTGGGGCTTCAGTATTGCTTGATGATGTGCATAAACCTCAGACATACCCATGTTGGAACTGGTTCAGGGTTTCAGTTTCATACTAAATCTTTTCATTGCTCAGAGTAATCTTGAGAATATACTCTGAAATCTGGATACCAAGCCCCATAAAGAGAATTGAACAGTGCTCCCTGTTATGGAAGGATGAACTTACCCCAAATACTAGACTCTGAGGTTGCCCTCACTACACCCTATGTTCCTTGAGTTCACATTCTGTTTGTTTGCTTTCCTAGCATGTAATGGAGGGTAGTCAATAAATGTTGAATAAGGGAACAAATAAACCACTTAGCAAAGCATTTTTGAAAATTTTGGGTCATAGATAAAAGAGCCCAACTCTTCTTCTCAAGCTTTATGCAGCAAGAATACATGTAATGCTGAGATGTGAGATGTGTCCTTCCAATCCTCTATTTTCTACTCTGTTGAGTTCTGGTCTTCTGTGAAATAATGGAATCGGTCTGTTTGTAATTCCGGAAGCAGAAAGGGACAGACACCCATTGATAAATTCCAGGGAGACTTCCCTTTACTGCAAGACCTGAAAGTACCCAACCAGCTCCCTTCTCAGCAGGTTCTGACTGGCTTTTATGAATCATTTAATGGGTGCCTCTCCTTAGACCCAGCTCAGAGCACCTTTCATAGTCCTCTTTCTCAAATTAGTCCACAAAGAAAAGACACATCCATGAGAACATGAAGCAGTAAGTCAGCTATTAGTCTGCCCTAAAACTTCACAACAGCCACAGGAAAGCTTGTGCTTCAAAAGCCGACTCCTCTCCCTCCCTCACTGTACTTTCAGCCTATTATGTCTTGCTCTGTCCTGAGCAGATCATAGAAGCATTGCCCTTGAATAGAGACTCACACACCTCTGCTTGCCAGCACAAAGCTGGGATGTGTTTTACACGCACTATCCAGTCTTAAGATACCTTCTCTTCACATTATGCATGGCTGCCAAGTCACTGGAGAAGAGGGAAGACGAGGGTTTAACTATTTTTTTCTTTTATCACTGTTCAATTTTATACAGTAATTGGTTTCTCCCCTCAGATACAGTCCTCAAAGTTCTCCCACCACCACATCACCCATAAACCATTACTACAGTTGCTTATGCTCTTCCCTTCCTGGTTTCAAAACTTCTACCTTCTCCTCCCCTGCTGTATGACTCAGATCTATGGTTAGCTTGTAAGTTTTGCTTTTTTTCTTGACTTTTGTTCAGTGTGTCTGTACTCCACATATAAGTGACACCATGCAATTTTTATCTTTTTCTTTTGACTTATTTTGCTTAGTGCAATCCCTTTCAATTCCATGTTGCCACAAGTGACATGGGTTTGTCTTTTTTCATCTCTGAGTAGTATTCCATTGTGTATCTATGCCACAGCTGAGGATTTAACTTTCAGTTCTGCTCCTGGTTTTCTCCAGGAGGCTGGACCATCTGCCAGTACAGCAGCTGGTCTGCGAGAGGCCACTGACCACTCACCTGCAGCTTGTCCCACTGCCTCGTGTGGGATGTGAGAAGGTCTTCAGTGGATGGTACACCTCTGGGCAGCTCTGTCTTGGCCAGACAGGCCCCAAACATCTGGAGCATTTGGGCAGTGGTCTTCAATGTCAAGGCAAAATTTTCAAGGGCCTAGCAAGTCAGGCAATAATAACAACATGAACGATAACACATACAGATCTGCTACCTCAATGGGAGAACTAGCTGCCATTTCCTGAATAGTTGCAATGGACCATGCATTGCACCCAATCTTATACATTTATCTATCATCTCGCCTATCCAGAGTGGAAGGTATTTTCCCACATTTTATAAAGAGGGAATTGAGGCTCCAACAGGTCAAGGGAATTGCCCAAGATCATATTAGGTGGGCAATAAAAAAGAAAGGAAAGGACTTAACCAAGCTCAGGTGTTTCAAGTTTAGGGCTCAGCTCATTACCCATGAACACATGCCATTATATCTGACTGGGGATTTATACAAGGTGAAGTGCTGAAAAGGGCAGGGCCACCCACCTACCCCACCCCAATAATCCCTTCCTTCCTGCCCAGCCCCTATATCATCCTCTGTCCTCCCTCTTGCCTCACTCACACAGCCTGTCTGCTTGACACCTCCAAGAAGCCTGTCAGATGCCCATAGATGATAAGACACCGGGGGTAGATAAACGTGGTGATTACGTCACTAGTGACCTTTCGGAGAGTCATTTTTGTCACTGGAAGGGAGGTGTTAGGAATTTCTTATTCTCCTTTATAAAATGTATCTGTTCTTGTGTCTCTTCCACTAGGGAAGGGATGCTGCCATCAACTGAAACTTGTGATTTGGCAAAGCTCTTCAAAGTGAATATCCCAAGAGAGACGTCTCATTTTAGCAGAGCGCTCTAGAAAACACACGGCCTCATCTAGAAAAATTGACACTGAGCATTCAGAAGAGTTAGTTGAAGGGGAGCAGCCCTGAGCCCCACAAGTCATCCTACTCAGCCAGACTAGTGCTGCCATGTCTATGTCTCTCTTCTCTTGAGCCCATTCTGTGTGTGAAGGGCAAGAACAATGTCACATTCACCTCAGTTGACCCAGTGCATAGTCCTGAGCCTGTCACACAGTCGGGAACCCACACACCACTGTTGATTTGGACGAATGGCAGGAGAAAAGAGGCCCAACCTAATTTTCATGTGGGAAAAAACTTACCTCTGCTGCTTCTTCATCAGAGAACATTTTTGAAAACCAAACCCACATCAGAAAGAAGGGGAGAGAGCTAATGTGGCCCTTCTCTATGCCACAGGCCAGGCTTCCAGAGCACAGCACATCTCCCCCTCTGCCTGGACATCAAAGTCTTGTCTGCATCAACCATTTTCATACTTGAATTATTGCTATAGGCGGACTCTCCCTGACTAGCACAAGTATTAATACAGCCCCAATCTTGAACTTTATAGTAGCTTTGGCCTGGAAACTGAGACAAACACTAACTTTTATAAAAATCTTTCAAGTATATGAAACTGTTATTACTTTCACATAATCTAACATCTGTTAAGATATATTCACTAATATGGGGCCTCCCCGGTGGTGCAGCGGTTGAGCGCTGGGTTACGAAGCTGCCCACAGCCTCTGCAGCGCCAGTTCGATCCCCGGCTGCTCCCCGGCCACCGGAGGAGGGTCCCACATGGCGCGCAGACCTCTCCTGCCGCCCGCTGCTCCCCTCAGCAGTGTACTTCGGTCCTTCTGCCTGCTCTGCTCCCCGCTCTGGCTCTGGTGAATTCTCTCACCCTCCCACGCTTCTGACTGTACCCAGTGCTTGTATAAATAAACAAACAAACAAATAAATAAATAAATGAATGAATAAATAAATAAATAAATCTTTAAAAAAAAAAAAGATATATTCACTAATAGCCTATGAGGAACAACATGTTTTAAAAATCTAACTTATCAGGAGAATTATAAGACAATAAAGTATTTTTAAGAATTTTGTTTGTGCGATCTCTTATAAAGCATGCCAGTAGGTGTTATTGTTATCACCACCCCTCAATGAGGAAACCAGCGCATATTGAGGTTAACTAATTTCCCAAAAGTGATATTAAAATTAAGTGGCAAAACTGGAATGAAACTAGATAATCTGGTCTGACACTCATAAACACTATGCTATACCATCACTGTGTATCCACCAAAATTAATCAAAACTAGACTTAACAAAACTCGATTTAAAACCAAAATCAATAAAATATTTTTATCCCAGGAGCTAAAGACTTGAATTAACATTCAGATTCTGGTCCTCTAACTGTGTAATCTTAGATGATCCATGGAAAGCTATGTCTTGTCTTTCAGATAAGAGCCCAGTGTCCTTATCTGAAAAATAAGGATAATGCTTGCTCTATTCCTTTTAAAAAAAAAAAATTATTTACTTGTGCCTACATGAACTGGGGTACAGGCCAGAGGTGCAAGGGTGAGAGGATTCACCAGAGACAGAGTGGGGAGCAGAACAGGCAGACTGACTGAAATACACTGCTGAGGGGAGTAGCAGGCGAGGCAGGAGAGGCCTGCTGCCAGATGTGGGTTGCTCCCTGGCTGGCTAGGGATCTAACTCATGCTGCAGAGGCTGCGGATTGCTTCATAGTGCTGAGCTTAACCCCTTGCACCACCAAGGAGGCCTGCTTGCTCTGTTCTTACAGAGATTTTTTTGAGGACCAAAGTGAACAACAATGTGAAAGGGTCCTGGGCCCAGTAGAGTACCTTAGAGGTATAATAATCGATAGTCACAATTCCAGAGAGTCAGGTGTGAGGGTTGCAATGCCATCCAGGAAATAGGGGAAAAAAAAAAAAAACAAAACAGCAGAGGTTTCCTGTGGAGGGTCCTGTTAATAAATTAACTTAATTCAACATGTCTAGTTGGTGAAGAATTACCTTGGAAAAGATACAGTGGATATGATTCTTTTAGGGTGATGAAAAGGAGTGTGGCCTTCAACTTGGCACTGCCATTACTTGACCATTTGACCTGGACAAAGTCCTATCTTTACACTCAAGGTTAGTTTCATTTTCTATAAAATAACATGATTGAAATAAATGATCTTTAAGGCTCTTTTCCATTTTAGCTTTTTATGAGACTCAAAGATTTGAGATCCAGAAAGCATACCACTATCAAAAAAAGATCTACATTCATAAGCTATAAATACAGACATGTATGTATATATATAATTATGTTGTTAATTATATGTATGTGTATACATAAAAATATATACATTAAACATCCAAAAGGTAGGTAAAATATATCTCTGATGTCTCAATACTAGTTGTACTCTTCAAAGTTCACTATATTTAACACAGGCACAAACACAGAGCAGGCCTGGGGAGAGAAGAGAGGTGTGCACATGTCCATTCATGCCCCATCATTAAATAATGTCTTCATGACCTCAGTCTTCTTTGCCTCTCTGACTACTTGCAGAACCATTTTTGTCTTTGATGTCAAGATGCATTCTTTTTTTTTTTCATTATTTGTTATGAATTTGTATTATTTCAAAATAGATCTGAGGAATCTTGGCAAGAAGGTGCACAATATAATAAAGTAAAGGACTGGTAGAGAAATCAGAGCCAAAAGGAGAGGTGGCTAGTCCAATAAGGTTGGTGGAACAGTTAATGCTTTTAATTATTTAAGTGATGTATAAAATTCTAGCAATGAAGAGAGCCTAGAAGCACTCCAGGAACCAGGTTTTAAATGATTTCATGAAAATATATTTTGTGACAATGCTCATCACCCCCATGTATGATATTCTGCATCAGTTTCCCTCCATATCTTTCACATTTAGACTTAAAATTAAATGCTCACGGGATCTCCCTGGTGGCTCAAGGGGTTAATCACCGCACTATAAAGCAATCTGCAGCCTCTGCAGCACGAGTTTGACACCCCCCGCACCGGCCAGAGAGAAACACACATGGCGAACCAGACCTCTCCTGCCTCACCCGCTGCTCCCCTCAGCAGTGTACTTTGGTCAGTCTGCCTGTTCTGTTCCCCACTGTCTCTGGTGAATCCTCTCACCCCCCACATCTCTGGCCTGTACCCCAGCTCTTGCATGCATAAATAAATAAATCTTTAAAAAAAAAGAATTACATGCTCGTGGGACCTCCCTGGTGGCACAAGGGGTTAAGTCTCAGCACTGTCAAGCTATTAGCAGCCACTGCAGCATGAGTTCAATCCTCAGCCAAGGAACTGACCCACATGGTGCAGCAGACCTCTCTTTTCTCACCTGCTACTCCCCTCAGCAGTGTATTTCAGTCAGTCTGCCTATTCTGCTCCCCATTCTCTGGTGAATCCTCTCTCTCTCTTTCTCTCTCTCTCTCTCTCTCTCTCTCACACACACACACACACACACACACACACACAGTCCCCACACTTCTGGCCTACACCCCAGCTCTTGTATGCATAAATAAATAAAATAAATGTTTTAAAAAAGAGAATTAAATGCTTATGAAAACTTAATTCCTTTTGTCTTCAAAAGGTTCTTTAAAAGGAAATTTAAAGTTTCTCACCCAGCTCATAGGCTTCCCTCTTGGTTTGGGAAGGAATGTGTCTTCCTTGGAATGACATGGTATACAAAGAAGTGAGGGAAGATTGGAGTAGCTTTCTTGTTGTTGTCATCCTTGGGTTATTAATTTTAGAAGCTGTAGCTTTAAAGTAAATGTACTGTTACTAGAAATCTATTTTTGGTTAACTCTTAAATTTACTTTTAAAAAAATCACAAAACATCATTACACTCTAACATAGCATGAATTTTCTTACCCAATTAAATACAGTTCAGGTGTTCATTAGTAAATGTTGGGTAACATGTTGCCAAAGTGAGCAGCTACTGAGAGGTATGTTGACATCACAAGCTGTAGCAGGGTAAAGGGACCTCCTGCTTCCACTTAGGAAAGCTAATCTTTTCTAAAGATTCATTTATTTGTGTATACAAGAACTGGGATGTAAGCCAGAGGTGCAGGGGAGGAGGTGAGAGGATTCACCAGAGACAGTAGGAAGCAGAACAGGTAGATCTACCGAAATACACTGCTGAGGGGAGCAGTGAGTGAGACAGGAGAGGTCTGCTGCACCATGTGGGTTGCTCTCTGGCTGGCCGGGATCAAACTCATGCTGCATTGGCTGGTGATGGCTTGATAGCACTGTCTTTAACCCCTGCGCCACCAGGAAGGCCCCAGGAAACCAAATCTTTTCAAGGGCATAGGAGCCGGGAAAGCCAGGAATGGAGATGACAATTGCATAAAAAGAAAAACTATTTGATGAGCTTCAATCTTACTTTTTCCTCAAATTACTGATTCTAATATTTTAGCATAATAACCACCAATAGGAATAAGTAGGAAAAAGTGAAATATTATATGTCAGTTGCTTTCACAAACTTTCTATCACTTATTCCCCACATGGAACTTTCAGGTAGCCTAGTTAGTCCAGGATTACTCACCATCATCACCTCTGACATTTAGGGTCAGATAATTGTTGTGAAGAGACTGCCCTGTGCATTATAAGATGTTTAGCAGCAACCCTGTCCCTACCCACTAGATGCCAGTAACACTCATCCATTCCGCCCACAAGTCATGACTACAAAAAAATACTTGCCTAAGGACAAATATTTGTCTCCTCTAGGAGACAAAACTTGTCCCAGCTAAGAACCACTGTGTTAGTCCCATTTTAACATTTTAACAGGCTCTGAGAGGTTCAAGACTGGGTCAAGGTCAGATAGTAAGTATGGTGACAATATATACATGCAGGTTCCTCTGGCTTGCTGGGTTTCAATTTGCCTGTACATTAGAATCCTCTGGGGAGCTTTGTGACACACTGATGCCTGAGATCCATCCCAGATCAAGTAAATTACTTTCTCTGAGGTACAGCAGTATATTGGTATTTAAGAACAAAAACAAACAAACAAAAAAAAAAAAAACAGGTACACTTAAATCTCCCCAAATCCCCAGGCCAGAGGATTAGGTGAGGTGAAGGAACTGAAATCTTTACCCTTCTACCCCAGCCTGTGGCTTTAAAAAAAACAACCTTCCAGGGGTTAGAAAGTCATGGGTATTGGTCACCGAACCACTGATCTGTAACTTCCTTGTCTTGTAAAAAGAAGAAGAGACATTGGAAAAGGTCCATCTGCTGATACTCACAGTTCTATGATTTATCCACTGACTGTGGCGATAGTCCAAAGTTCCCCCTAAGTCTTCTGTCAGTTGGCTTTTGTCAATGTAGCCATGAAGGTCAGAGACAGAGTTTAACATAACAATCTGTAAGAGAAAAAATCTAATATATTCCTCACAGATGATTAATTACTCATCTAGAGTCTACTGATGTTTCAACAGCATCAACTTTGCCTGATCAGACACTTATATCACCAGGGTTACAATATCTAGAAGAGAAACATTTTCAAGTTCCTTTCTGTAGCCCCCCTCTGAGCAAGGAATACCAAAGTGTGGAATAGTCTGCCACAAAATGGAGACGGGGATCAGGGACTTCAGCTCTAAGCTACCTAGACATCAGGTCTTGCTCTAGAGCATGTTTGGCAAAATTTCCCTGGGGAAGGTATACTTTTCATTACTAAATTCAAGTGTTGTGCTGAGATCTAAAATCCTGCAATAACATGTACAATAAAAGGTAGGCTGATGAATATAAAATTAAATTAGAACACAGACACCTACTGAGAAGTGTATATTAAATGTATTCACTATCTTAATGCAGATTCTGTAAAGATTGTTGCTATGCCCCCAATTTATTTTGTATGGAAGAGATTTGGAGGTAATAGGGAACTGGATGTTAAAGAATGTTATGATTGTAAATTAGGACCCAAAGTCTATAGGTGAAAGCAAAATTGATGTACTCATTCAGCAAGTAGGTATTTAACTTGCTAGAAGACTCGAAAGGATAAAATGGTATGCATGACAGACCTGCCTTCAAAGAACTTAGCCTTAGTGGGATTCGATTACTAGACACCATTTCACTTTTGAGAAAGAGTTTGGTGGGTTTTTTTTTAAATTATTTTTATAACATAAGTGAAAGAGAAAACGCCCAAATTCACCTATGCCTTTTTCTCCGAAAGTTGTTAAACCACTTTCAGAGTTTCAAAAGATTGTTAGTCTTTCGAAAATTAGAAATTATATAGATATATATCCAGAAACTATACACATAACAAGAAATTATTTAGTCAAAAATATGTTTTGCTTCTTGAAAATTAGTGGCACAGTAACACTTGGACTTTTAAAAATGCTTAATTTAAGTTCAGTTGGATCCCCTCCCCTGCCAGGACACAGGTCTTCATTTCCACTTCACTGAACAGGGAGGGAGGTGTGCTTTCCCTCACTTCCCAGCACTGTATCTTCTCCTTTTTGGTTTTAGAGGACCAGGAGGTATTTTTAATTGAAAACTGAAGGTGAATATTAAAACTAAAAGTAAGATAATAGAAGACTCACTACTGTTAAGTGTTGCTCTATAGATTCAAAGCACTTCCAACAGACTTATTGTAGAAACTCACAACCTGGTCCTAAAATTTATACAGAAATGCAAAACACATAATTTTGAAAAAAAAATAAAGTTGTACGACTCACACTACCTGATTTTAAGGCTTATTATATATTACAGCAATCAAGAGTGTGGTCATGGTAAAGGACAAACAGATCAATGGAACCAAATAGAGTGCTCCAAAATAGACTGACACAAATATGCTGATGGATTTAACTTATTTTGAAGTAAATATAGCTTCACAGGAAGTTGCAGAGATAGTAAGGGGTCACATATCACATATATCTTTTACTCCCCTAAGCTACATCTTACATAATTAATATCAAAACCAGGGATTTGATTTGTTATAATGTGTGGGTATAAAGACACTGACAAATGTCCTCTGGGAGACATGTCATCTTCAAAATGAACCATAGATTTATATGTAAAACATAAAAATTGGAAAACAAAACATTAGAGAAAAACCTTAGGAAAAAGTCTTTGCTTTAAGCTAAGAGTTCTGAGATACAGCAAAAAAAATACAACCCATAAAAGAAATAATGGCAAATAGGACTTCATCCAAATTAAGAACATTTGTACAGAAGACACTGTTAGATGAATGAAAAAAAAAAAAAAACCCACAGGTTGTTTAAAGTGTATACATGCAGTTACAAATATTTGCAAGTCTATGTGCATATTTGTACTGACTCTGCTAAAAGGACCTAGAAGCAGACACCTGAGTCAAAATAGCACAGCAAGCATCCAGATCTTACCAAAGGAAACAAGGCTCCTCAGAGAAATGGCAAACTACAAGAATGGATATTGGCTGTTAGACTATGTTTGAGTCTGGAAATTCATATTATGCCAAAAAGTAAGGAAATACTAAAAACAATACAAAACGAAAAAATGATGGGGGCATGTCACAAGGACATTGCGGCCAGCTTGAAAGAGCTCCTGCTCTTGAAGTTGGGGATGATTTTAAACACCAAAATAATTATGAAAAGGTATTAATTTTCAATCATTGAAAAAAAAAATCCATAGTGGTGATAAACAAGTAAGTTCTAGCTTACAATAGGATACCAATTTCTGATTAGTAAATGTTGAGAGTGTTAACTGAAATATCATGCAACCAATATAATTAAGGTGTTTTCAGACAAGCATCCTTAATGGATATTAAATAGAGAGGGATTTTTTTGAGAAGCAAGATATCTGTATGGTCTCTCCAAAGATTCCTCAAAAACTGCAAGGGGAAACATAATACATTTGAGAGATGGGACAATGTCTTGACTAGGGCCTCAAAATTATTATCATCCATTGGGGGGGGGTCAGTGAACACTGTGTGTCTCCACATGTGATACCCTGAGAAGGACATGATATCACTTAAGTAATATCCCAGTTGGAAACACGTAACTGAAATCCAATCTTGAAAACTATCACAAGAGATGCAAATAAGATATGTTTTATTTTTTAAGGGACTGTGTTCTGAAAAGACACTAATATCATAAAAGACAAAGAAAGGCTGTGGAAATGTTTTGGGTTAAAGGAGATTAAAAAGACATGACAGCTAAATGCACTACCTGATCCTAGACGGTATTCTGTACATATATATTCAGTTATAATGTATATATAATATGTATTTCTAAGTGTACCTACATCTTTACTAGTATATTTATCTCCCTATATATTAGTATATATACTAGAGATAAATATACATATTTATACATTAATTATATATTTATTATGTGTAATATGGAATATAATTACATGTAACATATAGTATACAATAAAGAGTTGTATACATCTATAAAGATATATAGTAAGGTATATATAGAAGCAAATAAAAAGTAACAAAGTAAATGGGAATAAAGTATTAACAATAGGTGAATGAATCTGGATAAAGGGTATGGAATGTTCTTTGACCTATTCTTATTCTTGAAATTCTTTCCAACTAAACAAACAAAAAAACCCCAAAATTATGTTAGAAACTTTTCTGTATCACCACAGATTTATCTTATCCATTTTTTCATGTTTAATTAAAATATAATTCACATCAATACAATGCATGGATTTTAACAGGCTAGTTCAATTAGTTTTGACAAATGTATACACATGAAACACCATCCAAACAAGATACAGAACATTTCCCCAGGAAGTTCCTTGTTTCTCTTTCAATCAATCTCCACTATTCTTCCCCACTAATAGCAGTCACTGTTTTAACCTTCTGGCCCCATAGTTTAGTTTTGCCTCTTCTTGATTCTAAAAAGAGTCACAGAGTCTATACTCCTTAGTGTCTAGCTACTGCCTCTCAAGAGAAATACTCTTGAGATGTGTCTATGTTGTTGCATGTGTTGGTGCCTCACTCCTTTTCATTGCTTAGTATTACTCCGTTATATGACTCTGCCACAATAGCTTTATCTCTTCACCTGCTGATGTACATTCCTATAAATTTTTTTTTGTGTGAACACATGCTTTCATTTCTCATAGGTGGGTCATAGGTTAGGTGTATGTTTAACTTTCCAAGAAACTCAACTCTTTTCACTAAGGTTGTACCATACATTACCACCTTCACTGATTGTAAAGTACTTCGGTGATGAATACTTTGGGCACAAGTGTGACCATATCTGTAGAATTACTTTTATAGGGAGGTCAAAAATGTATAGATTGTAATTTTTGATAGTGAATTAGTCCTTCCTATTGGCCATTATTAAATTCATTCCTATAAGAAAAGCATGATAATACCTGTTTCCCCTACATAGCTGCCAAAGTTAATAGTAAAAATTTTAACCTTGTCATTTTAATTAGTTTTCCTTTTGTATCACAAAACTGGTTTTTACTTTCACCCTACAGTTGCCTATATTTTCATCCTCCCATATGTTAGATTCTTATTTTCTTTCACACATACTATTATAACTTCTCTTCCCCCTTAAATCTCTTTCTATGGTCTCAGACACTACCTTTTCTTCCAAGAGATTATCCTATATGTACTCCAACAAGAATGGGGTTTCCTGATAAACTTCACATAAAGTGTGTACTTTCTCTGTCCATGTCCTTCCACATGCTGTTCCCTTTACCCAGAATGCTTCCTCTCCTCCTTTACCTGTGAGCCACCTGCTTTAGAAACCCAGCTCCAATGTCATCTTCTCCACATGCCCTAACCAAACGGAGACAAAATGAAAGATCATGCTTACCGGAACTTTCATTTTAAATTCATCTCGATAGTATTTAATGCCAATGTCAGTAAATGTCCTCTGGAGAAAGCGAGATGGTCGAAGGATAAATATGAGTTGCAAATTTCCTGGAAATGCTACCTGGAAAGATCATGAAAAGTGTCAGGGAAAATGTCACATGCATTGGCCTCCTCTTGCCCAAGATCACAGATGACAAGTTGAAGAAGACACCATGGACGCCAAAGAATTAGAATATACCTCACAGGATTTCAGAACTGAAAGAGATTTTAGAGATCAGCTAATCCAAACTTCTTAATAACCACACTAAACAAACAAGCAAAACTTCTGGCTATTAAAATATTCCATACTCTTTATAGAAACATTGGGAAATCAATGAAAGTAGGCATAAGAAAAAAAATCCATGATGTATTAGCTATTTTTCATTATTTCAACCTAATTACTTGTTCTCTATTTTCTCTGCTTAAAAATCCTTATCATGATTAAACACATATTGTAAGAATATATTGGCGCCTGCCTTTTCATTTAATATTATGCCATGAGTTTTATTCCCATTATTAAAAATTCTTTGGAAATGTTCTTGTTCAGGGGTGCACCATTTATTTAACCAATTTAACTCTTATTGGTAGTGATTTAAGCTTTCCCATATTTTTACTGCTGTAAGTCATTGTTCACTACAATGAAACCTGTAGGTTCAATGCATGTTTGGAACATTTCTTAATAGTTTCCTAGAAAAGTTACTTAGCCAAAGGCTTAATATTTTAAGGATTCATAAAATTGCTCTGAGAAACATTGCTCTCATCTTGAGATGAGGTCCTGCGAAATGAGCTAACTCAGATTCATGTAACAACTTAGTGGCTAAGTCATCCCATTGCTCATGACTTTGTATTTTTCCAATTGTTCGCCAAAGTAACCTCCTAAAGTGCTTGTTATATTAAAAAGGAAAAAAAATCTGGTCTTTTTTTTTTAAAGATTTATTTATGCATAAAAGAACTGAGGTACAGGCTAGAGGTGTCGATTGGGGGTGAGAGGATTCACCAGAGACAGAGAGGGGAACAGAACAGGAAGATGGAAGTGCACTGCTGAGGGGAGCAGCGGGTGAGACAGGAGAGGTCTGCTGTGCCATGTGGGCCAGCTCCCTGGCCAGGGATTGAACTCGTGCTGCAGTGGCTGCGGATAGCTTTATAGGTTGCGTCTTAACCCCTTGCACCACCAGAGAGGGCCCCCACCCCAGAAAAAGTCTGGTCTTTATCCTAGAATATTCTGATTCATTAAGATGGGAATGAATTTCTGGTATATTTTCTTCAACAAGCACCTGAAGACATTCTGACTGATGGTGAGGTTTTGGAATCCCTGCACAAAGTGATGTACAGTATAGTTTTTTATGTACATAGTAACTGATGTAATTCTTGGATAAATTAGGTTCAAGTATTAGATGATTGCGTATGGGCCATAGGAAACCAAGACTCTTACTTAGAAGCCATCCTCTAGAATAGTCACGGGCATTGTCAAGGTCTAAACCCCAACATCATTATAGTAACCCCCAAAATAAATTCTATAACCAAACCAAACCAAACCAAAGGGATGAAACAAATTCATGCACAAAAGAAAGGAGTTTCCCTTCCCTCATTTTTGAAACGCAAGCTCTTGAACAAAAGAGCCTTGCATTTGTTATGTCATGACAGGATAAATGAGTGGAGACGCCATTTGTGTATCTGAATGAAGCTGTAAAATGATCGGAGGGAGCCTCTGCATATGTACAGGTCTGTATGTGTGACTGCTTCTAATTAGGCAGAAGTCAGGCTGCAAGTCTCCTTTTCTGTTCCTAGCCTGTTCACACACATTACCACCTCCCACAGCCCGTCCTTTTGCAATCAGTCCCAACTGTCCCAGGGAGACGATACTGGTGAAAAGGCCAGTGCAAGTGGCCCTGAGGGGTCTCTGCCTGCCCACATGGCTGAGTTCTCTGGTCTGAGGCCCCTTCACAGAAAGGACACATCTAACTATTGAAAGTCAACAAACGGAGATTGAGATCAAACTAATAAGATGGAAAAGGAAAATCATAAAAGGCTACATAGTTTAATGCCAAATGCAACACACCTGAATTCAAGCCACTAACATCATTTTATCTGGTTTGCCAATTTATTATTATAAAATAATAAATTGAGTGTTGAATGAAGACTGTTTTAAATTGGGTGACTCCACTCCCCCAAGGCACACCTAAGATAAGGATTGGGTGTAAAGAATTTATTGAGAAAGTGAACCCAGAAAACACCTTGAGGGAGGGGGGTCGGGTTCTGAGAGGGTGATGGCCAATGTCCCAATGAGAGGGGACTGCTGTGGACAAGAAAGGCCAAGATCCTCTGAGATACTGTGTGGGACATACCTTAGAATAGTCCCACTGAGGGGTGTAGAAATTGTGATATTCATATACCAACTCCCATAACTCAATTGTTACAGGTCACTTTGAGAGCATTAACTTCCAGCACCTGCCTCTCTCCCAAGAGGAGAGAATTCCAAGTAGTAGAGAGACTTAGGAAATCTTTGATATGCTCAGGAATTCTCTGCAAGTGATCAGAAGGAATATGGACAGAAAGCAGAAGGAATAGAGACATGGCATTGCCTCTGCTATAAAGACCTTCCCCAAAACTGACATAATTGCTTTAAGCCCATGATTTGAGATCATCAAATTTAATAACCAGTTTAAATTACTTTTACAATAATAGCACAAAAGTAAATATTTACAGCTATCCGTGTCAAGGATGCTTTTATGGAGCTCCACTTGTCCCTTCGTCTGTCGATAACAATGATGAATCCGATGCTGGCAGCCTCCACACTGCAAAAAAAGGATAGTGAGTATCAGAGACCAGCTGAGACACATGGGTTCTCTGCAGTTCACTCTGCAGAACATTCCCACTGTCCCTGTGGCACTCCAGGCTCGCTGTGTAAATACCCTGCACAAGGTTTTATTGGGTCTTACTTCCTCGTCAAAGGAACCAACACCCTCTTTTCATCTCTGTCTAGCAGCCTTAATAAATCAGAAAATTTGGGTCTCTAATCCTATCAAGTACTCTGTTTTTCAGACTCCTCATCTGTAAAGTAGGAACAAGAATAGTACCTATCTACAAAGTTGATGTGAGAATTAAAAGAGTAAGTATAGTATAGACGAATAAAGTGTTCAAGACAAAGGGCACCTGCATCCCTGTGTTTATACCAGCACTATTTACAACAGCTAAGCTATGGAAACAACCCAAATGCCCAAAAATAGATGACTCAATCAAGAAGATGTGGTACATATACACAATGCAATATTACTCAGCAATCAAAAAAGATAAACACATGCAGTTTTCAGCAACATGGTGGATGGAGCTAGAAGGAATCATGCTCAGCGAAATAAGTCAGAAAGAAAAAGGAAAATACCGGATGGTCTCACTCATAGCAGGAATTTAGAAGACCTAAATAATGGACCAGGAAAAAGACTAAGTAATACAAAGTAAAAATCAAAATCAACAAGCAACTATAAACCAGAGACACACTAAGTGGGGGCAGGGAGGGAAGGGTAGAGGAAGGACTAAGGTCAAAATAAGGGACGGGTGCAATTGTATGGGGAATATAACCAAAATGAAAATGCATACATTGCGCAACAATGAAAAATGATGAAAGAATTATATAAAATAAAATATTAATTTAATAAATAAATAAAAATAAATTTTAAAAAGTGTAAAAGTGTTCAAGACAATGCCTAGCACTTAGGAACTTAGTACCATTTTTATATTCTATGTGCTTGTCATTGAGATTAAGAAAAATGAAGTACATGAAAAGTAGCTGACAAATAGTAAACATTCAATAACTCTCTAATATCTAATAACTCTAATAAAAGGTAAATTTTAGTCTAAAAAGTATCGACATGTGTACAAAGCACAAGATCTAAGCAAAATCTACAAGAAAACATAAGTAGCTGATCTGAAATAAGCGTCACTGGGACAACCCATTATCACAACCCCATATTGACACAGGTTCTCTCACTGGGACATTTTCCAGACTATGGTGCAAGGACAGGTGGTTTCACTGGGTGGAAAAGGCAGAGATGGGAGATTATGGGTTCAAAAGTGACCAGTATTTAGTAGGAGTGACTGTCAAGGAAGCCTCAGGGAGTAAACTCCAGAAATTTTCAAAGAAATTCTCCTCTAATGCTTGACCAATTTCTAGGCCCCACAAGTTTAGATGAGATTCCAGGAGCCTGGCAGAGAACAGAAACTGTGTGAGTGAGGGATGATGAGAAATTATGAAACTTACATAATTCTAGGAAGAGACAATCTGTCTTTGGGCTGAGCCAGAATAGATAGAATTTGATGAGAACCATCGGCACTCGGGTAAAACTACAAAGGTCATACTCTAGGATAAATAAAACACCATAAGAGTTGTTGGAGCATAACACACGTGCAAGGACAAAACATAAGTGAACTTGCCATAGAAAATCTAAAACTAGTCTCAAAAAGATCAAAGTTAATACCAGTAATTTAACTGCCTGCCAGATCAAAACCCAATGCTCTTTTTAAATATAATCCACAATATCCAGCATAAAAAATAAAATAAATAGAAATGCAAGGAAGCAGGATAAAGTGACCATAATCAAGAGAGAAACAGTCAATAGATATAAATTCAAAAGTGTTCCTATTTTTAGTAGACAAAAACACAAAATGACTATTATTGATATGTTAAAGAAAAATGGGGGGAAAGTCAAAAAATGGATTAAAATATTATTTATTTCAAGAGAATTAGAATCTATAATAAAGAATCAAATGGGTCTTCAAGAAGTACAGAACAGCAATATCAAAAATTAACAGCAGATTGAAGACAGGCTATGAAACTGAAAAAAGATCAGTTGAAAATATTCAAACTAAAACACAAAAAAGGAGGAAATGAAATGAACACAATGTGACAGAGATAGTTGACACGAACAGAAGTCCCAGAGAAACCTCATGAAAAAGAATGTTACAGAAACATTTTAAAATAGTGAAAAAAATTTCCGTATTTGATCAAAGACATCAACTCACAGATTTAAGCAGCAATTCCAGTATGAAGAAGGGTAAATACAAAGAAAACTTCACTTAGGTGTATCAGAGCCAAGTGGCTGAAAATTAAAGATAAGGAGAAAATATGAATAGCAACCAATGAAAAAGAGACACATTTCTTGCAGAAAAAGCATTCAAAGTCATCACTGGTTAAAGATTTATTTATTTATTTATTTATTTATTTATTTATTTATTTATGCATACAAGAGCTGGGATACAGGCCAGAGGTGTGTGTGGGGGGGGGGGTGAGAGGATTCATCAGAGACAGAATGGGAAACAGAACAGGCAGATTGACTGAAATACACTGCTGAGGGGAGCAGTCGGTAAGACAGGAGAGGTCTGCTGTGCCATGTGGGTTGCTCCCTGGCTGCGGATAGCTTCATAGGTTGTGTCTTAACCCCTTGCACCACCAGGGAAGCCCATCACTGATTTTTCAACAGAAACTACAGAGCAATAATCCAATGGAAAGACATCTTTGGAGTACTGGCAAAAAAATTAGAATTTTAATTAGAAATTAGAATTCCATACCCATTGCAAATGAGGATAAAATAAGGACATCTCCAGATAACCAGAGCTCAGAGAATTTACTGTCTGTAGACATACACTTTAAGAAATGTTAAAGGTTGTTCTCCAGCCTGAATAAAATTGGAAGCAGGAAAGTATGAGAAAAATAGACTGAAAAGGGTAAATAAAGGGATAATGAGGTTCAGTTGATTAGGAAAACTTTTATTCCCATGCAAAAGAAAAAAGAAAGAAACTGGTTAAATGAAAAATTCATAATTGTTCTTAAAGACATTAAAGAACTCTGAAGACAGAACTTTAGATAAACAAATTCCAGTTAAGATCTTCTGTAATGAGAAAATACCAAAGCAAATGTCCCTATGAAGTGTGGTTGCCTATTCTGGTAACAGGCAAATGAACACTCCCAAACAAAATAATCTCACATGATAATCTGAATCTGTAAGAAGAGCTGAAGAGCACTGTAAACAGTAAATATGTGGATAAATATTATCAACTATTTTTTTTTATTTCAGTGCAACACTATTGAAAAAAAAATTACTAGACAATATATATGTGAAAAGATGACATAAGTGAAGTCATTTTAAAAAGGGGCAAGGATGGTCAAAGCAGACAAACTGCTTTATTGTCCTCTTTATAACACAACAGACCCCCGGGACTGAGCTGAGCCACCCGCATTCCAGGAAGACAACAAGAATATCCTGTTTGAAAGAACTTTTACTTCATGACCCCTTCACCTGACCATTTTACTTTGTGATTCCTTCATCTGACCATTATCTTATCCATGGCATCATCCTCCATTGCCTCATCCCCCTCTATCCCTTTGAAAAAACAAAACAAAACACTTTTGTCCCTCCGTATAGGTTTCTACCCAGATTTGTGTAGCCTGACTTGTAATTCTCTGTTCTTCTCAAATAAATGCATTTCAGCTTGCCTACTACATTGCTGATAATCTTGAAGTTTAACAAGTTTAGCCAATCCCCTGCCGGGCTGAGCACAGAATGACTGGCCCTGTCCCTAAATTTAAACACTCCTTTCTATCTACCTTCCACCTTTCAAATTCCATCCTGTTAGGGGGAAAAGGATGTCCTAAAGCTAATTCCATACAGGCTTTGTGGACTCCACCCCCACCCCAGGCCAAAGCCAAAGACAATGGGAACTCCAAATCCCATAACCACCAAAGGGAAGGTGGCTGGGTCCTGAGGGTGGGGTTAAGCAGCCAGGTTGGTATAAAGCCAGACACATGGGCTTTAGAGGGGTCCCCCATTTTGGTTCTCCACCAGCTTGCAGCGTCCGGCCAGCTCGGAGAGTGACTTTGGTTTCCAGGTCGTCGGATCGGGTAGGAAGCATTAAAGACTTTATTTCCCTATTTTCTCCCTGAGTTGTATATTTCCTGATTTCCTTTTCCCTTGTAAATAAACCTTTTATTAACCTTTTGTGTGTGCCTGTAGTGGAGTATTAATAAGTCCCTTTTAAGCGCGCGGGTGAGGACCCACAGCTAGGCAACCCGTTCAACATCGGGGCTGCCCTATAACAATCCACCACCTCTCTTTTATTAATGAGTAGGGAAGCAAGTATGTTACTGATCAGTGTTAAAGGCTCTGTAAGCCTGAAAAAAATCTAACATGAGTAAATAAATATATGAAGTACACAGCCAGGTTTTTCTACCATGAATAGTGGGATAAAATAAAACGCAGTTGTTTAAAAAGTTTTGCATAAAATGCCTGTAGGTCATCTTATGAAGTCTACCTCTCCACAAAAAATACTCCATCATAACTTTCTTTAAATGATGCTCATTTCTAGAATATACATTAAATATTTCAATATGAAAAAATCTAGAGGATTCTGGGGAGGGGGGGAGCAAAGAAAGGTAATGTCACCACACAATGTTAAGGTACAATTAATAAGATTAAAAACTAAGTCCTCACTCCTGGCCCAGCATGAATTCTTTCCCACACCTCCAGCCTTACTCCAATATTTTCTCCACCACAAACAAGAATCAGATCTTTTTTTTTTTTTTTTTTGTGGATATGAATTAATTCAACTTTTAAATAATGCTGAAAAAAGAACATAAAAGAAAAAATGCTTGAGGGTTTCTTGCTGGCACTCCAACAGTCTGGGTCTTGAAGTAAAAGGGAACAGTGATCAGGAAGGGAAGTAATTAATTACAAAGTCATTTAAATTTAATGTGGACATCAATCACCCGCAGATTGTTAATCTACCAATTCTGACTCAGAAGTCT